GTGTGGTATGCTGTGGTTTGGTTTGGTTTGGTTTGGTTTGGTTTGGTTTGGTTTGGTTTGGTTTGGCCTGGCCTGGCCTGGCCTGGCCTGGCCTGGCGTGGTGTGGTGTGGTGTGGTGTGGTGTGGTGTGGTGTGATGTGGTGTGGTGTGGTGTGGTGTGTGGTATGATGTGGTGTGATGTGGTTTGGTTTGGTTTGGTTTGGTCTAGGGTCTGTAATGGAGAAGAGTAAAGTCCACAAAAAGACTGGATGTTCCCCTCGCCCTACATACCTCACAGCGTTGAATGTAACCACACGTCTCAGAATCACACCTGACCTCACTCTCACAGGAGTCTGCTATTCAGATAAAAACCACCTTTATAAGGTGAGCTGACAGAGACATGTCTGAGTTGTTTTGTTTTGTTTTGTGAAGTACATCCGTACGGCTTGTGTTTAAGCAAACGTGCTTTCTCCTGTCGTGAAATGGAACTGCAAGAAGGGCCCATTCAATGCCTCAGGAGAATTTCTTTCTCTGGGAGCATATGAAGGCATCAGACCTTTACGATCTGGACCTAAGGAAAGGGAGGAGACTCCTATATCAGGGAGCCCTTCATACCAGACTTCCATAGAACTCCCCACATGCTTCTGTTTTTTTCTGCCTCTTCCTCCCTCTGCCCAGCTTTCAGCCAGTTGAGAAGGGGTCCTGGGTACAGTCTGTCTACGTTCAGATGGGACTCAGCTAAAGCCAACCTGGAGCCTAACAAGGCAGGACAATAGGAACCAACACTCCTGGGTGCACCCTCTCACCTTCCTCTGTCATTTTTTTTCAGCCATCCAAACTCCAAACTAAGTTTGTGGAAAGAAACGAGAGAGAGAGAGAGAGAGAGAGAGAGAGAGAGAGAGAGAAAGTCAGCTCCGAGGACTTACAGAATAAACACATCTTCCACCGAAATTCACTCTACTCAATGGGCCGTGAAACCATCCAAGCACCATACTGCCCCCTGGCTTCATACCCTTTGTTTTATCATGAGCTGGTGTCCCTGCTAGAAAGGCTGCAGCCTTCTACAGAAGGATGGCCTCACAGCTGTTACACTCTACTTTCTTGCCTGCCTGGGCCCCTGGCCATAGGCTATTGGAGAAGCAAAGGTCAGATACGGGAAGAAATGACTCATTAGGCTCATGGTTGCGCCTAGAGCCACTCAGCTGCCTAGCATAGTGAATGTCATGAGGCGGCTAAGGAAATCCAGACAGCTGTAAATCAGAGGCTTAATGATCTGTTTGGAAGGGTGTAAGATGCCCCAATCGCTTTTTGGTTACAAGTTTCTCATCAGAGCTCAATCTGCCTGTTAGACAGCAGAGCCAACGTCATTCCTTAGAAGGCAAACCTTGAGATAGGAATTCCTGAATAGAAACTTTCTCCCCATCAAACATAGAAGCCATCTCTACTCTACTAGTCAGGAAAGACCTTCTTGTGTTAAACAGACTCATGACAAGTGCACCCACTGATCCTCCTGGGGTGGGCAAAGGAAATGACTCACAGACACACAAAGGAGCCCAGAACTCAGATCTGTGTGAGTTCTACACAAACCCACGGGACCACTCCTAAAGGGCACGGGACATATCTAATCCATCAATAACCTCAGAGGTGGGGGTATAGCGCAGCCATGCTGCATGAATTAGGATGCTCGGGGCCTGGCTACCAGCTCCAGAACTCACTACTATTTTTGTGTGTATTCAATATTTAATAAGTTATTCCTCCGTGGGTGAGTTCAGACCTACATGGTTCTCCTGGGTCTCACTGTGGAAACCTGCTGTGAGAAAGACTCCTGACCCTCAAAGGGACACAAAGATGCTCAGATTAGCTAGGCACCTTGGGGAGGTGCCTATAAACTGCCCCTATAAACTTCCATCCATAATATGAAGGCATGGGACTAGCCAATGTCTAAGTCAGCTTACACACTTTAAATCTAGACTCTGAACCTCAAAGCAAGCACTCTTTCTCCAGACCAGCAGGGAACACTCCTGCCTTAAAAGCTTCTGGGGCAAGGGCAAGAAAACGCATCTTGGCAGTTAACCACCAGCAAGGAGCTTTAATAAAAACCACTCAGAGGAAGCCTCCACTCCATTCATCCAGTTTTCTTGCACTCTCTTTTTAGGGAAAATAGAAAGAAATAGAAAATATATTTGTGGAATAAGGACACATTCAGAATTTTATTGTATCATACATATTTATTTGTATATGTATATTATATTGTAATATATGTATATATGTTGTAATATATTGTGAAATATATGTACATACACACACGCGCGTGCGCATACGTGTATATACACATATGTACCCAGAACCCAGAACCCGTGATGGAAGGAAAGAACTACCCCTCAAGAAGTTGTCCTCTGACCTCTGTATATATACAAGTATACTCACACACACTCAATAATAATAGAGTTATGTTTCTAAAGCGAATGTCTGTGGCTCATTAAGCTAATTGAAATAGCAATAAAGTTCTGTGGGATTAGAAAACACATTGGTAAACTAACAGAATTCACCTGAATAAAGTTCTTGATCGTGCCCTCTTGTGGCAAAAACATGCAACTGCTGAATGGCAGTTTTGTCAGAGTACTAGGCAAATGGTATCAGCCATTTATTGAGCATTTTTCACATTTCAAGGATTTTTCTGTATTTTTTTTAACATGTTAGTAAGATAAAAGAAATATAATATCAAAAATTGTTTTAATACAGAGTCTTCTGTCTCTCAGTCTGGCCTCTAAATGACTCCCTTATGTAGCAAAAGATGACATTGCATTTCTGAACCTCCTACTTGGACCTCCCAAGTGCTGGGACAAACATCATTTTGGTGCTGCGCATAGAGCCCAGGGCCTCACACACACTAGGCAAGCACTCTAGTGAGCTGCCTCCCCAGTTTTAAAATAAAGGATATGAGGAAAGCAGTTTTCCATCATGGGGAGCTCCAGAAATCTTTTATTTCAGGAGAATTCACCACTCACTTGAAAGCGTATATAGTTTGCATCTTGAGAGTTCCCCAAAGGCCTGTGCCTTAGGGCTACTTCCCAGCTTGTCACCACTGGAAGATGGGAGAACTCTAAGAGAAGGGACTGGGTGGGAGGCCTCCAAGGAGGACTCTAGTACCTCTGTTTCCCTCCCTTCTTCCCTCCCTCCCTCCCTCATTAGCCTGGGGGAACAGTGCATTCCGCTATATGCTTTCATCACAATGTGCTGCCTGCTACAGGCCCAAAGCAATTGGACCAAACATTCCTGGACTATGAGCCGAAATTAAACCTTTTCTCTCTATAAAATGATGTATCCTGGTTATTTGTTTTAGTGAAAGCTACTTGACACACAGTGTATCTTTTTCCTCCTAGGTATCACTGAAATCGTGGGCCCATGTCTTCCCACACTTTCACTGTGAGTCCTAGGATTCTGAGCTGTGATTCAGAAGCGGCCAGTCATACTTTATTTCCTGCTCAGAGCCCCTAATTTCAGGTTTGCAAAATGAAGGTGACGAAATGGAAAACAGCAACACCAAAAAGTGAGAGGGAGGGAGGAAAAGGAATACACACACACACACAAACAGCTCAACAGCTCAACATTGTAAAGGCCTCAGAAGCCCTGGGTCTTTTCATTCAAGTGGTGGTGGTGGTCATGACTTCAGAGGCATTCCGTAAACAAGAACACTGGCTTGTAATGCTTGTAATGCTACAATCCAAATCTTCAAACCAAATCACAAACCCAACTTCAGGGCTCTCACATCCTGGGTGTTAACGTCCAGTTGGTGTCTGTACCAAATGATAAAACTGGTTTTCCGTTCTCAAGCTTGTTTCCAAAGGATGCTGAGCCCAAACCCCTGCAGCTGAGGAGATAAGTACGCAACCATTCTGACTCAGAGTACTCAGTCCTTTCCTTACAGAGCCCATACTTCAGCCGCTTAGGGGAGCCAGCCCTTCGCCAGAGGCCGGAAACCTACATGAAAGTGCTCATTCGCTACTGAGTTCTCACACAGGAACCTGGCTTGGTATTTGTATATCAGTGGTTTTCAGTCCTTTGGGGATTCATACATGCCACAGATATGCCACAGATCAGATATTTACAGGACAATTCATAACAGTAGCAAAGTTAGAATTATAAAGTAGCAACAAAATGTCACCAAAATGTTACCACAACATGAGGAACTGTATTAAAGGGTAGCAGCATTAGGCAGGTTGAAATCCACTGGCACATATTCATTGTCTCATTAAATGCTCTTGTATGTGTATAGCACTTCGATCATATTCATCCTCTCATTATCTTTCGTCTCTCACATCTCTCCTTCCAACTTTTTTAAACAGTGGTTTTGAACCTGTGAGTCGTAACACCTTTGAGGGTCGAATGATCCTTTCCCAGGGGCCAACTAAGACCATCAGAAAACACAGATGTTTATTTTATGATTTATAACATAGCAAAATTACAGTTATGGAATAGCAACAAAAATAATTTTCTGGTTGGGGGTCACCACAACATGAAGAACTATATTAAAGGGCCACAGCATTAGGGAGGTTGAGAACCACTGTTTTAAAGGAATGCCAAGAGTTTTAGTTTATATGAAAACCTCCTAATTTTTACAATTTGAAATGCAAGATAAAATTAAACAATGCATGAAACCCTGTCCAACTTGAATGGAATCGGTTCTCTGCCCAGAAGAACATCTGTGGACAGATCTCCTTTTCTGTCATTGGGACCCAGGGGCTGACATTCAAGCTACTATTGAGACACGTCTTCCAAAATATGTCTTGAGGGTCAAATTCCAGCAGAAACTTGCTCTGGACTTCTGATACCCTTCCCATTATCATAGACATCTCTTCAAGGTGAATATTCTACTGTATTGTGCATGAATTTCTCATACTTGATGTATCCCTGGTATTTGGATAGCCCCATCAGTTCCCAAAAATATGAGTTTACAGTGTCTGTCACAATGCATTTCTTTATTCTCCCAGGAGCGACTGATGGCTGTATCTTTTTCTTTGTGAATAAACGTGACCATCAAGAAAATTCCTATCAGTGTTGTGGATGAAGCTGTGATAGCTTCATTTTCGAAATCTCCTGGGAGATGAGGTGTTCTTTGACTAAGACACTGTATACATTTGGACTTGGGTCAGAGGAAAGAATTCCGCTATAAAGTTCTTCTTTTTCGTATCTTCCTAATTAACGAAGAGGAAGATGTGACTAGGCTTTCAGTTAGGCTCTGGTCTATGGTGCTTAAAAATGTAAATAGCTGCCGTTCTGCGGGCATACAAAAGGCATGCTTTTAATTACATAGACTGCGCTCAGCCCAGACTGCTTTTTTGGTTGCTTGGTTGGTTGGTTGGTTGGTTGGTTGGTTGGTTGGTTGGTTGGTTGGCTGGTTGGTTGGCTTGGCTTGATGATTGGCTGGTTGGCTTGTTGGTTGGCTGGTTTTTCAAAACCAGCATACAAAATGATAGGTTTCATTATGGCATTTTCATACATAATTTATTTTTGCAGACTGTCCTCCCTTTCTCTCCTCCCCTGTTCTCCTACGTCTTTCCTGCTAGTCCCCCTCCTCTCTGCAATAGCCTCCTTTCTCTGCTTTCATGCCACATATATTCTCTTTTCCTCCTTTTCTCCTCCCCACAAGATCTTTTCCCCTTCTCATAATCTTCTTTCTAATTTAATGAACATACATACATACATAAACAGATACATACATACATACATCTATATAAATTAAAATCTAGGATCTGCATATGAGAAAATCTTGCAATATTTGTCTTTCTGAGGTGGGGTTATGTTGCTTAATATAATTTCCAGTTCCCTTCACTTTCCTGCAAATATAATGATTTCATTTTTCGTTATGTCAGCCCAAAGGTTTTTGACTGCAGAACTTCCCAAAACCGCCACAGAGTAAGAAAAAAAGTCACATGTCTTCAGATCATACAATAAAAAAAATATATATATATGGAAAATGGGGAAGCTTCTAGAAGGGATAGCTAATGAGAAAATGGCCCCTGTGAAGCTCCAGGAGGAAATTGGGTTAGAGCTTCATGGGCAAGCAGGAGTAAAGGTTAAGCAGACATGGTTCAGCATGCCTCAGGCAACTGGAGTAACGAGAGACCTATTAACACATATGTCCTCATATGTATACGTGTGAGCAGTACACTGTTCAGTGAAAGTTTACAGTTTAGGGTTTCAGCAACTGGGTAAGTTTCCCCATAGAAGCTTTGCTCCCTAAAATTGGGGTTCTTTACAAGATGAATGGAATAAGGGCTTTCCTAGATTTGGGGTAATCCTTAAACATCTTGAGGTAGAACCTGAAAAGAAAAGAAGGGAAGGAATGATTACAAATGCAACATAGTAGTGGTCACGAGTTGAGTTTGCACAACCATTACAAATCAATCCAGTTACTTAGCACCTGACGAATTCCTGGGGACCATGTGCCCATCATCCACCCCGTTCCTACAGTCTGCCTCTTGTAAATGTTGGTAATTTATGTGCACGTAATACAAAGTAATAATCCAGACGATAGTAGTGATGGTTTTGTAATATTACAAACGTACTTGATAGCGCTGAACTGTACATTTGAAAATTGTTGAAGTGGTGGATTTTATGATTTGTATATTTCACCAGATTTTTAATAGGCAAAAGGAAGTACTCATTTGGGCTTACTTTGCTGAAAACAGCAGGAAGCCAGAGCCTCCCAAAAACTTTGGGCAACTTCTATAATAGTGGCCTGTCAGTAATGGAAAAACCAGCTACTCTCCGATTGGACCTGAGGCCTGCACCATAGGGGGAAATCCACATCTGGGACCAAAAACCTGTACAAAAGCCCATGACTGGGGGTGTCATAGGCCCTACTGGGGAAGCTACTACAACTGTTTTGCTAAATGGAGATGCGCCCATCAAAGTGATAAATAATAATATGTATACCCACAGACTATGGCTACTGCAAGCTTTGCTCAGAGAAGCTCCTTTTTGCAGTGGGCAGCAGTAAGTACAAAGACCCATACTGAGTCAAACTACTAAGAATAAGGAACTCAGCCATGGATGGATCACCCTCTCCAAGGCTCAGGGAGTATCACAGAAGATGGGGAAGGAAGAATGAGGGAGCTGAGAGAAGGAGTGAAATGAAGTAAAACTCTGTCTCTAGAATATGGCGTCACCATCGCACTCCTGATTCTACAGCAGTCAGGATTACCCACATTAAACCTGCACAAAATTGAGCTTGTCAATATCCTCCCATGACTCCTCTTACCAGGACATACAGGCAGATAATCAGAGCTGGTAGGAGGGAGTTCAGGGGCCAGCCACTCCCTGAGGACCTGTCGGCAGTTTATAGTTGCTGGGAGAGGGAGAGATCTTTTCATCTGTGGTGTGGCCACCGATGACCATCCAGAACTCCTTACCCAAAGCCCTGTAGGTGACTCTAATTAGACTCACTCAGCCGTGAAAAGTAAATAAATAGGGCTAGAAAGAGGTCTCGGCAGTTTAGAGCCCATGTTGCTCTTCTACAGAACCCGAGTTTGGTCCCAGCAACCATGTCCAGGGGCTCACAAATCCGTGTCTGTATCTCAGCTCCAGTATCCGACGCCTTCTCCTGGGCACCCGCACACACGTGTGTACACAAACACACAGACACATGTGAATGAAATAAAACCACCTTTGAAAACATGTAAGAGCAGGAGGGAAACAATAAAGGGTAATAAAAGATGAATATGTTAAATGCATTATAAATGTATGGAAATGCCATGAGGCTCACTATTTTGTCTAACTAGACACGTGCTAATAAACAAAATTTGCAAAAAGCTGTGGACAAAGTTAACCTCAGAGAATTGGCAGCATTTTTTAAAAACTATCTCTTCCTGAAGCTTAGGATGCCACTGGGTTGAAGTGCTAACTCTGAATACCTGAAGAGGCACTCTTATTTTGGAACTTATCTTGGTCATTGCAGATGTAATTAATTAAAATAGCTCACACTGGTTCAGGGTGGACCCTTCCTCCCATAGATCTGAAAAGAGGCATGGAGCAGGAGACACCCAGAATGAAAAGGTAGCCAAACGACTTGCAGAGATTAGAATGAGGCACCTACCCCAGCATGAAAAAACCAAGAATAGTGAGTCTCTGCCAGAACTTAGCAAAAGCAAAGAATTCTCCCTCAAGAGTAGCCCTGCCTATACCTTAAGGCCAAACCCCTGGTTTCCAGAATTCTGAAAAGATAGATTTCCCTTGTTCTAAGCAGTGCAGCTGGGGGTCATTTCCTATGACAGCGTAAGCAGATTAATGCCTCTTAGGAAAAGACTTTACCCTGTGTGACCAAGATGTCCTCCTAACTAGTTGAAACTAATGGCCCTCAAGGCATAATAAAGACAAAATACACTCTGCTAAAGTGCTTTGGGTTTGAATTGGAAAACAAAACTAATCGTGTGTGCCAGAAGCGCCTGGTCTGCAAGTACGGCTTTGATTTGAAAAGACCCTGTGTGCTCAGCCTCCCCTGCCAATGCCTGTCCTTGCTTCCTGGGCACCTTCACAAAGCCCTCTCAGTCCTACTAAAAGAGGGACTCCTGGCTCTCCCTCCGAGAGGACTATACCCAGATGGCCTCAGTTTGATGTTGCTGGTGCAACAGCTGGAAACTTCTGGTGCAATTATTGTCCAAGACCTTTGCTGCTTCACTGCCTGTGGCTTTCAGAGACCATTCTGCACACCAGGCAATGATGCCTGCCACTCTTCCACCACTCTTCCACTACCTCTGATGGGCAGCAGATTCTCCTGATGTGAGAGGGCTATCGCATTGTCTCTCAGAGACTGTGAACCCTTGAAACCCTGTCCCTTTCAATATAGGAGGTGACAGGAATTGCTCTCAGGGGGGAACTGCTGCTTTACCTGTTTCCAAACTGGTCTCAGTTTCCATTCAGAAGAAATGAGCTCGTGCCTCATTTAATCTTAAAAACTATCAGAAAACACCCAGGCCACAGGGGTCTTTTTATGAGACTGTTTCTCCAACCAAGGACCATGTATGGATGACCTAGAACCCCTGCCCGGATGTAGCCCATAGTAGCTCAGTATCCAAGTGGGCAAAGGGGAACAGGGACAATTTCTGACATGAACTCAATGGCAGGCTCTTTGACCTCCCCCCACCCCTGAGGGAAGAGCAGCCCTGCCAGGCCACAGAGGAGGACTTTGCAGCCAGTCCTGAAGATACCTGATAAACCAAGGTCAGATGGAAGGGGAGGAGGTCCTCCCCTATCAGTGGACTTGGGGAGGGGCAGGGAGGAGATGAGGGAGGGAGGGTGAGCTTGGGAGGGAATGAGGGATAGGACACAGCGGGGATACAAAGTTAATAAACTGTAATTAATATTTAAAAATAAAAAATTAAAAAATAAATTTAAAAAAAAAAGAAAAAGAAAAGAGCCAGGCGCAGTGGCTCATGCACTCAGCACTCAGGGAGATCGAGGCAAGCGGATGTCTGTGAGTTCGAGGCCAGCCTGGTCTACAAAGCAAGTGTAGGACAGCCAGGGCTATGTAGGGAAACCTGGTCTCTAAAGAAAACGGAAAAAAAAAAAAAAAACTATGAGAAAACTCATTAGCCAGGCACAGATGCCGAGGCAAAAGCTTAAGGAGGGCTTAGTCCTGTTCTGTGCTCAATGTGTTCCTTCTCGGTCTCCAGGCCTTCTCTTCCTTCTTTCTTTCTACAAAAACGAGTTGAAGGTAATCAGATGAAGCAAACAATGCATCACCCTTTCCTCTCAACACAGCTTTCAGTTACCTCTTTTATCCTACTCAACCCCTGCCTGATGGATCAACGATGTGTTAGACCAACCCTCCAAGGGTTGGAAATGCCTGCAGTTCTGACACGTGCCAGCAGATGGCGAGCTGGGGCTCACCTGCTAACCTTACTTTGCGCTGGGAGCGCGCTCATCCCTGGAGCACCTATCAAGAACTGTGACGGAAGAGTACTGAAGGGACGCCTGGACATTTCTTTCCCCTCCGAGCCCATTATCTGAAGTTTCCAGCCGAGTGATAATAATCACCGGGCATAGGACCTGAACCAACCAACTCACTGTGAGAAGCCATCTTTTATTTTGGTTTTATTATCATGTATTAATCGTATATAATAATAGCCTTCATAATGACATTTTCATACATGTATATGATGTGCTTTGATCATATTCATTCTGTTACCCTCTCTTGTCCCTCCCACTTCCACTAATTTCCTTGCAACCATTTCCCTTCCATTTTCATGGTTTTGTTTGCTTGCTTGCTTATGATTCAGTGAGTTTCATTAGGGTTGCTCATAGACACATGGTGAGAGGCTATTGACAGGAACATGGGTATCTTACCATTGGCTACATCACTGAAGAAAATGCCTCTCCCTCTCTCATCAACCCTTAACTACATCCTCAGGGGAGGATAGTGGAAACCCTCCTCAAGCACAGTGACTTCCCAGCCGTCACCTCTGGTGCCCCTATCTACACAGGCTGATTTAAAAAAAAAAAAAAAATAGCAGGGCATGGTGGCACGTGCCTTTAACCCCAGCACTCAAAGAGGTAGAGGTAGGAGGATCTCTATGAATTCAAGGCCAGCCTCGTCTACAAAGCAAGTCCAGGACAGTCAACACTGCACAGGGAAACCCCATCTTAAAAAACAAACAAAAAGCCAAATAAGCCCTTTCTTCCTTAAGTTGCTTTTGTGTTTTATCATAGCGACAGAAAGTAGAACTAGGCTCGCCTCTGTTAAAAGTTTACCTGTGGTGGCTAAAAGCTCGCATCCCAAGGAAACAAAGTGAGAAAAATGCAAAAGCCAGGGCTGGAACGGACCAAGCAGCCAAGGCATAGCCCATCCACTCAATGATCTCACCCAGGTAGTTGGCTCCGGAGACATAGGTAAACAAGCCACCTGTGTGCAGAAGAATCAAGAAGACGATGCTCTTATTACTGTGAACAGCATCCCTGTGTTTCCTCCCAAAGTACACAAAGACAGGCAAACAGAGGTAAGGTGGGGGGGAATGGGGGGCTCCTTCCACAGCCACAGTTCAGAGGAAGCTTCTTAGAGACAAGGGGAGAGGAAGCAACAACTGCCCTGTGGAATGTTCTGGAATCCTGAGGATGGGCTCCATGGACTGATTGGCTTTGTCTGATTCTTGACAACTATTAGGCCATCAGCTTTGAGCAAGACAAGTAAGAGGTGCCGATGGCCTGCTTCTTTTCTTGTTCCATTAAAGGACATTTTCAGGCTTCTCTTTACCCTACCTTACCTGGCAAGTTCCAAGGTCAACTGTTACCATGTATACCCATCACACGATGTGAAACAACGCACTACATGGAAATAAAACCTTAACGGGTGTGAGAAATGATGTGATTCTCTTTGGTCCTTTCATCCTCCACTACCTGGCCCCTGTGCCATACACTGTTGAAGTTGAAAGCAGTAGAAAGCTCTGCTGCTGTTGAGCCAGCACACCAGATATTTCCTCTCTCAGAACTATCTAGAAATCAAGACATTTCTAATGACATTAAATATACCCACACTCAAACTTTATGAGCCATATTAAACTAGGAAAGTTGTGACCAAAACAGCTTTTCTTCTTCTATAATTACATTAAAATGTGCTTTTAAGTCATTCTCTCTCTCTCTCTCTCTCTCTCTCTCTCTCTCATAACTCAGTTGGAAACTGACCTTGGCAATCTGATTTTTAAGAACTGTCCCAGCTCATCTTTATTTAATTATTAAGCCGAAGTTTTAAAGTATTGGTCTGGTTGGAATCTGAGCACTGCCCACAGATTCATGTGTGAACACATTGTCCCCAGCTGGTGGGACGGTTTCAGAAGGGTGTAGAACCTTTTAGCTATGGGTCCTTGCTGGCAGGTGGAAGGATATTGGGGGTGGACAAGAAGGGGACAGCTAACCTGGTTCCTGACCAAGTTCCCTGCTTTCTAGCTGCCACAGAGATGTAGGCAGGTCACCCCATATTCCCACCACCAATGACAAAAGCCCTCCTCCTACCACAAGGCTGCCTCGTCTAACCTTCTGTACCTTGACTCTGCAAGTTAAAGTTGCCCTGTCCAGTATTTTGCCCCAGCTGTGAGAGAGCTGACACAAGGAACAAGCTCTTGACTATTGCTTTTCTTAAGGGTGCCACTGCGTCACTGCCTTCCTGCCCACGACACCCTTGACTTTCTGGGGGGCACCTGTCTACTGCAAAGGACCCAGGTATCCAGGAACATCATGAATGGTCTAACTTAGTTCCTCAGATACCAAGGAATTGATAATCATTACTCGCTTAAATGTATCACTAATCGCAATAGCTTTGCCAATCAGCAATTGCCAATCAGCAATTGTCAGTCTATGCCAACATCGTGTAACCCAGAACTTTTTTACAGCAAATGAGGTCACTGTTTACATCCAGAAGGGTGGGAACCACCGTCTAACTCGAATGTGTCAATCACATGCACTGAGTCATTGCCAGGTGCTTACTTGTCAGACTCAGACACCTAGTTTCTTAGGACCAGTTACAGACGCACGTTTTCTGTATCTCGATCTGCACACGATGTGGTCGGTCAGCAGCAGACTGCACACACGATGGCAAGCCACTTAGACTGTAACAGACCTGGAGCGGTCACCGCCTACACCGCCACAGCCATCACAGTGTCGGCACAGCACAGCGCCCATCCTAGGAAAGCTCAGGCCTTGTCATCACAAGGTAAGCCTGAGGTCCTGGGTTCAATCCCCAGTACCCAGATAAAAGTGTGCACAGTGGCACGTGCCTGTATTCCCAGTGAGGAGAAAGCAGAGAGAGGAGGATCCTGGATCTCCATGGCTGGCTAGCCTAGCTCAGTGAGAGAGTAGACCGTGAAAGTGCAGTTGGAGAGACACTTGACACTGCAGTCGCCTCCATGAGGCTATGCACAAACACCCACACACACACACAGTCCCACCCATACATACACCACACACACACAGTCCCACGCTGTGTCTGGAGTGAGGGAATCGTTGCTCCATCCATTCTGAGAGAACTTCCCAGTGAACATGAAGGTAAAGTACACGATATTAATGATGGTGATCATGGATGAGCCTGGGCTAAGACGTGTTTGTTTCTTAGCTTTCAGTAAAAAAAAAAAAAAGTTTTTAAAATTTCAAAATTTCAAAATAGGCTAACCTCTATAACCTAGCTATGTGGTAGGCTGCCTGTCCAGGTTCTTGTAAGTATACCATGGTGCTCACATGACAATGGAATCCTCAGCTTCATTGCCAACACACCAAGGCTCACACGCTGTGTAAATGACAGGCTTATATACGAGGCTGTAGTCTCTTCCCCACTACTTATATCCAAGCCTGGTGTCCTCTGCCTCCTTGAGGGCATTATGATCTTCCTTCCTGGGGTGGAGAGGCATCTCTTATAGTTCTGTGTGTGTGTGTGTGTGTGTGTGTGTGTGTGTGTGTGTGTGTGTGT